ACTTCCAATCCTCTGGTACCTGCCCACTATTCAAGGACTGACAATACAATAGTAACAAGTGGCTCACATATCCAATCTTTAACCTCTTTCAAAACCTGTGGGGAAATATTATCTGGCCTAGGAGCCTTATTGTTCTTTAAAATTCCCAATTTTTTCTTAACCAGCTCAGAATTAATTCAGTCATCTTATTCGATCTTGTTTACATCTATTAACTGTTAAAGATGTGGAATACTGCTTAAATCTTCATTAGTAAAAACCGAAGAAAAAGCAAAATTTAATAACCCAGCCATCTTATAATCATCGGATATTAGTCTTCCTTTATCATCCCTCAAGGGTTCTATTCCCATCCTAACATTTTGTTTACCCTTAATGTATTTAAAGAAATCATTACTGTTAATTTTTACATTTTCAGTCAACTTTTTCTCATACATCCTTTTTGATGTCCTAATTTCCTATTTCAACAACTTTCTTGATCTTCTAAATCTCCTGTCATACCAATCAATTTAAACTATTAAAATTTACAAATATGCTACCTGATGATATTTTTTCTTTCAAATCATTAAATATCTATTCTCAATAGATTTTTGATGATATTGGTTATCAATGATAGGCTAATCCATCATAAGTCTGATATACAAACACGTAAGTTTTACTTATTTGCTGTAAATTTAAATGTCCAATTAGTTAGTTTTGTATTTCAAAAAAATGTAATCTCAGTGATTAATTTTTGGTGGGATTAGAATTATTATTTAACATAAAGTTTTATTGATATGAGACAAAACAGTAGTGTTTGGGTGAAATGACTCCGACCACCCAGCTGTCTCCAACAGTTTACTTTCTAAAAAATTGGGTTCCTCGTCATCAAACTTGGCCAGATATTCTATGTTTGCATCGCAACTGCTGTAGTAAATGGAATATTTTTAACATGTTAGTAGCTTGATTATGTAGTAGATGACACTCTATTTATAGCTATAATAAAAGCATGCAATGTCTGCAAACGAAATATTTTTAGCCTTGGTTGTAGTAGTAGAATTTCAGCTTGGGCTAGTGCACTTCCATGTCTATTAATACATCAAAAATATATTTACATCCCTAAATAAAAAGGCTTAAAAACTAAACAAACCCCAAAATATGCCATGTCATTCAATGTCCATCCACAAAAATTCAGTCGACTCATACAACAAATATAGATGACCGAGCCACAGAAATGGGTCAGAATTATTGTCGTGTTAGATACCACAACAATATTCACTTTTCTGGAGTTCCAGAACCTCATGGATAAAAGCAAAGTCAACAATTATTTAAGAGTAACATAATTTCAGCCTAACTATCTTGAAAAGTTTGGTGCTGTAATGTGGATTATCAACCGCCAGATGCATTTTTTGAATGATGTTCAGACACCAATAAAGTTAATATCCAATACTTTGAACGTAAGGGAAGTTTAACACAGCAACCAGCTTTACAACATAACCCTACGGAACTTTTGGTCCTCTGAGTCTGCCTTTGCACACCAACCCTTCAACACACCTTTTATATTTCAGGAAACCATCAATTCATCTCTCCAACACCCATAAATAGGGATCATTCTACTTCTGAAGGAAACTCATTATTTTATAAGATCACCTCTTACCCTTTCTTTCTCAAGAAAAGTTAATAAATCTTAACCTATTTCTGTCAGATAACCTAGTCATCCCAGGAATCATCCTAGTTATTCTCCTTTAAATCCTTTTTTTTAATAAGTTACTATCTTTTTATAGATAAGGAAATCAAAACCATTACACAGTATTTTAAGTGATTGGTATAGGGATAATTAATTAACTGTTTTGTCTAATAGTCAATATGTCTATAAATATACTTGAAAATTCGATTAGCCTTACTACTAGCGACAAAGTCATGGCTTGGGTGACTTATCGACCTTTATACCAAATCTTTTTCTTCAGTCATGCTGCTGACTGGATTCCCATCTACATTAAATGTGTGATCCAAGTAAAAGTAACTCAAGTGCATTACCCAGCACTTACTACAAATGAAGGTCTTTTGCCAACCATTTGATCCAAGTCATTCTATAATTCCTCACATCCTCAGTACAGCTATAAATACTCATGAGTTTACTATCATCAGCAAACTTTATTAATTAGACCCTATCAATATCATTAATGTAAGAAAAAGCAAAGGCTCAAGCACTGACCCCTGAGGCACTCCACTAGTACCCAAGATCCACTTCTGCTTTCTGCAATCCAATTAATAAGTCTTTCCCCAACTTCTACCATTGTGATTCTCTTAGTTAATCTTTTGTACGGCACCTTATCAAAATCCTTTTTCAAAACATAAGTACACCAAGTTCACACACATTGCAATATACACATAACAAGTAACATCCACACAAAAAAGTTTATTAGTTCTACATTCCCATCTGTTGAATCCATGTTGGTTTTCTTATATCGTGTTTCACTAAATGTTGTTAATAAACCTCTTATCGCTCTTCAAAACAGTTCCCACTACAGATAACACTAACTGATTTTTAATCTCCAGAGTAACTCTTATCACCTCTAAAAATAAACCAACAACTCTTTAATTCTCTGGCATCTGCCCACCCTTCGAGTCTCTATTGGTCTAATAGAAATGGACTTTATCCATGGATAAATTACCGTGCACTCAATCTATCTGCAAGTTTTAAGTGTTGTTCTCCTTCTAGCAGTTTTCCAGTTCTCCCTCATTAAGAAGGAAATAAGAAGACTTACAAAACAGCAGTAATCAAGGTAAAAACAAAAATTTTGTCTTTAAAGGCTGAGTGGTACATCTTTGCAAGTTCATCTAGTGGGGTGTAACAAGAATTAATACCTTCAAAGCCCTAGATTTAAGAATTATTAAAGGATATAGTGGAGTGGTGCATGTTTGGAAACTCACCCTGAGGGGTGTTTATTATGTTAAGACCCACAAAGCTACGAGTCTGAGGATAAGACCTCTGTAATGACTGTGATACCAATTATGTCTTGAAATGTTTCAAGTTAGGTTCACTTCCAGTGGAGATGAAGAACCCCACAAAGAGCCTAATCCTTATATATGTGTTTCCTTTTCAGGGTTAAATTTACTACATTTCTGCCATATCCCACACACTAAGATTTGCAGAAGGTCCTTCCAGAGCAGCTTAGTCGGGATAGGAAGGGAACATCTCGTAATCTCTCTCTCCAGCTCACTCTAATACTATGCTTAAAGTAAACATTTGTGGGTTATTAATCCTTGCCTAAATTAGTCTTAAAACAATTTATTGATAATTGTTTTAAAAACTAGTTCAAGCTGGTAGTTTACTTTTTAGTGCATGTTTTTCCCACAAATACAAGCATTAATATCTACATGATTCAGGTCAATTGAAATATTTCCCAGAAAAAGATAATCTTGTAAAAAATAAGTATCTATATCTGATCATCTTAGTAATAATAATAATACAACCTCTTTAATCTTGCTAAAAACCAAATACAACAGCATGGTCATCTTGCTAAACATAGAATACTATAATGTGATCATTTAGCTACAAACAATGTGATATAATCTGATCATCTTGTTGAAAATAAGAAGACAAAGTTTTTACAATTAATATCCAAAGGAACGTTTTTTTTTGTTTCTTTTACTTGTACAGCGAATATAAATATCAACCAAAAGTATCTTTTCACAGAAATGCTTTGAATATTTTATGTTGAATGGCTTACTAGTGGTATTGACAAAACAATCTAACAATAGTTAATATCTTACAGTACAAATAGCATTGTTCAGCTTTTGAAATATATTAACAATAAAATAGTATAAGCCATTCCAATAATGAAATATTGCAATCACTATGAAAGAATACAAAACCACCTGTGTAACTTAGCAATTTTAAATAATTAAGTGAACAGCATATAGTTTGAAAAGCATCTTCAAAATGCATCCAGTGGCTTTGTCATAACACTAACTATACAATAAAAACTACCACTTTCATATTAACAAGTTCACACATAGCGGTAATAATGTGACATTGTGTTGTTCAGTCATCACACTGTTAATGATACTCTGGAAAAACAACTATAAGACTCTTTGAAATATCTTAAAAGTATGTAGTGTTCATACTGCTGTAGCTCTGAGACTGGATATTTAGAAAAAACATCCTTCAGCCACAACTTCACAAAACACATGATTCCCATTAAAAGTTTAACAAATTCTAACAGTGTCTAACAGTATGGACAGATATACAAGCACGCTTTTCTTCAAATCAACACTCTTTCAACATCTTTTATACAACTGTTGACACATAATCATGATTACAGAGTAGTGAAGGATATGTGAAGACTTTTTCAGAGATAAAGATACACTTACTGACATCAAATCTTCAACAGATTGCATCTATCTGTATAAATATAAAGACAGATTTATTGTCATCAAATCTTATACAGAGTACATCTGTCTACACAAAGATAGATTTTTTGATGTTGAATCTTCCACAGACTATATCTGTCTGCATAAAGATAGATTTTTTTATGTTGAATCTTCCAGAGACATTTACCTGCATAAAGATTGATTTACTGACATCAGGTCTTCCAGAGACCACATCTGTCTGCATAAAGATATACTTACTGACGTCAAATCTTCCACAGATTGCATCTGTCTACATAAAGATAAACTTACTGACATTGTCAGGTGTTATCTGTCTGCACTTTGAGAAGTCATTAGGTTACGATGAAAACCTACATATAATGTTGAATACACTTGATGACTTTATAACAGTCCAATTTTTTTATACCAGCTCTTGGGCTTTTGCTGGTAAGGTCCATGTGTACACACTATGATTGTTAATGTACACATAAATGACTATTAATTCTAGCTGTATGGCAGAAATAACTAAAATTAAATCAAACTTAATTAGCTATTGAAAACTCCTGAGTAATGTGGAATATAAATCTTTAACATAAGAAAGCTTAATGTGCACTTCATCAAAAAAAGGCATGAGGTAACTTTAAAGTGCCTAAACTTGTACTATGTGTTTTAAATGTGTCTAAATTGTTTAACATATCAAATAATGAAATGAGCTGATTCAGATCTGTGATGAAAATACAGAAGAAACTTTCATGGGATGCTGGCAAATCTTACACAGTAATACAAGACACTTGGCCACTGACACAGATGATAAGTAACACTAACGATCTTTTCCTTGTTGTCCTTTCTTTCAAAGGAATCTTTAAAGTAACACAACAAATCCTTTCTTGTCATATTTCTTAATGATTACAACCATCACAGTTTTGGATCTTAATGCTTGACAAATGAAAAGGATTACAAGATTTAAACGTGTAAGAACAACATGACTTTCCTATCACTTTTCACAGTACCCACCATCTTCTGTTACTCGTTTCACTGGTCACCAAGAGTATATTTATTGTGATACATGCCATTAAGGAAAAATATGTTTCACAAAGCTTTAGTACAACCATTCAAAAATGTTTCTAGCATAACAGTAAATTTACCAAGTCTTGCATGCTCATTCTGAGTTAATACAAAACAAGAACAGAACTAAAATTTGTCTCATTCTGATTTGTTAAACAAACTTCATAACAGAAACAATAAAGAAAGCAACAGTTATGGAAAGTAAACAGATGTGTCATAAAAAAAAGATGAAGAAGAACTATTTTACCACTTAAGTAGTTCTTAAAATTTGAAACACAGTGTGTGGACCACTACTGAAAGAACTGTGTTCAAGTTCATTCTATTCCATGAGCAAAAATCATGACTAGGCCTGGATTTAGAAGCAGATCTGCACTCATGTGACTGTTATCACAGACCATCACAACAACAGCCTGCTTTCCTGGTATTCGCTTACAAACATAGTTTTCATATTGTCGTCTGTTTGTCTGACGTGTCTCCAAGGTGCTTAATCCTGGGGGCCACCTCCGTTCGTGTGCATTCTCCATCAAGTCATTGATGATGTGAGATGGACAGCCACTCTCAATCAGAGCCCTCTTAACCATCGCTTGAAGTACAACATCAGGAGTAGAGATCATCCCACCCCATCGAGTGACTCGCGCTCTCTGGAGAGAACTGGTCCACCTGAAAGTAATATATCATCATTCTACCAGAACTATCCACAATAAGTATATGTTATAGAACTACAGGATCATGACAATATTTTAGTAAGTACAACTACCAGAACCATCCACAATAAATATATGTTATAGAACTGCAGGATCATGACAATATTTTAGTAAGTACAACTACCAGAACCATCCACAATAAATATATGTTATAGAACTGCAGGATCATGACAATATTTTAGTAAATACAACTACCAGAACCATCCACAATAAAGAAACAATACACATTATAAAGCTACAGGATCATGACAATATTTTAGTAAGTACAACTACCAGAACCATCCACAATAAAGAAACAATATATGTTATAGTTAGAGGATCATGACAATATTTTAGTAAGTACAACTACCAGAATCATCCACAATAAAAAACAATATATGTTATAAGCTATAGGATCATGACAATATTTTAGTAAGTACAACTACCAGAACCATCCACAATAAAGAAACAATATATGTTATAGTTACAGGATCATGACAATATTTTAGTAAGTACAACTACCAGAACCATCCACAATAAAGAAATAACATAGGCTATAGAGCTACAGGATCATGATAATAGGTTAGTAAGTACAGCTACCAGAACTATACACAATAAAGATCCAATATAGATTATACAGATACAAGACCATAAAAATATTTTTGTAAGAAAAAAGGATTGTTTGCTTGTTTGAAGTTAAGCACAAAGTACACAATAAGCTATCTATGTTCTGCCCACCACAGGTATCAAAACCCGGTTTCTAGTGTTGCAAGTATGCAGACATACCGCTGTGCCACTGGGGGGGCATAAGAAAAAAGGAAGTGCAACTCATCAGTGATTTCCATATACATTGTACCAATGCATGGAATACCACAGTTTTCTTTTATGTGCCTTTGAAAAGTTTTAAAAAACTACAAAAAACTTGAGTTCTGTAAATTCAAAGTCCTACAACATCACAGTTTAAAATTTTAGATCAAACAAGATTTCTTAGTGTGCATCTATGTTTGTAGTAATAGGTTCATGTACAAGTTACAAAAGCAATTGAAATGTTAGTAGGTATGAAATTTGGTATGAAAACCTTCGGAACTTTCATTCTTTACAAATGTGGAAAAAAGCTTATCCAGTATACAAGCATACAGAAATGCAAGGCATATACAGAAATGGAAGTTTTAGCACATGTTTCTGAGGTGTACTTTATAAATGCTATAGTGAATCAAAGTTACTTATGCAACAGAATAAATTCACTATCATTAACTCTAGGTACATACAATACCATTTAAACAACCAAGGACATTTTTCTAAAAACAAATAAATCACCTTGTAATCAGTTTGTAACAATCCCTCAACATCACACTCTGTGTGTGTGTGTGTATATATATATATAGCTATAAAATTAACTTTCCTGCAGTTTAATCTCTATTTATTTTATCTTAGTTTAATCTACATGCACATAAACAGAGATTTAATTTTTCCTTGGAATAATTCACACATAGTTTGAAAACTCATTTACCTTGGTTTAATCTACATGTATAATCAGAGGTTTAATTTTTCCTTGGAATAATTCACACATAGTTTGAAAACTGATTTACCTTGGTTTAATCTACATGTATAACCAGAGGTTTAATTTTACCCTGGTTTAATCTACATGTTTATACAAAGAAATGATTTAATCTTGGTTTAATCTACATGTATAATCAGAGGTTTAATTTTACCTTGGTTTAATCTACATGTTTATACAAAGAAATGATTTAACCTTGGTTTAATCTACATGTATAATCAGAGGTTTAATTTTACCCTGGTTTAATCTACATGTATAGTCAGAGAATTACTTTTCCCTTGATTTAACTCTCTGTATATGGGTTCGAGCACTTTGACCAACCTTGTAACCATGAAACTATACATATAATAACTCTGAATGTTCAAATGTATCTTTATGAAATTTGGCATTATTGTAGTAAATACTACAAGTCTTTGTACAAAAAAATTAGATTTTTCAATAAAGTATTTTTCTGTGAATTTGTGAAGCCTTTATTAAGTCAGTCTGAGTTAAAGTTGATTTTTCATGTTAAGAATAAACAATACTAAATTCATCTAACAGTTTTAATATTTCATTTGCACAACTTCTAGAACAAGTAAATAACAAAAGTTTTTTCAGTAAGACTTTATACTTTATTTCTTACATTCTCTACCCTAACACTCCGTATTAAAATCATCTGTATTGAAAATTGAAAAATATTAAATCAAAATTACCACTTTTTTTTTTTAGAATTACTTAGCTTAAAAATTTTAGGCCTCTCAACTTTTCACAACTGTTTTAATTTAATTTGTCTTTTTGGTGTTCGGACAGTGTCTAACTATCATCACAAGGTATATGCAGAGCGTTTATGGTAAACAAAGTTTAAGTGTACATCATACAATTTCTAACTATGTTCCTTGAGGGGCAATAATGAAAAATATTTTATTGATTTTATTTAACTTTCCTTGTATAACTTATTAAGCTTTTAATTTATACATCTTAGTTACTTTTGTTCAAAAATGTATAACAATAAATACAAAAATATACATAAAAACAGGATATGTTAACATTTTCTTACACTGAAAACGTATTTCCAATAAGTACTTATCTTTCTCACACAAAGCTATCTCGATCCTCGTTTGCCCTCTAAGCATTGCTAAAAATTTTTACTGCTACCACACCAGTATTTATATTCCATCAGTTTCACACCATTTCTGAACATGTACATATCATGTAGCTACTCTCTACCAATAGTATTGCACTATGTATACTAGTGCAGATAGCTCCCTCTGCTATTCCTGCTCAATCCTCACTTTTGAGAATTGGCAGGTATTAACATAAAAACACCAGCAGTGGGGAGGAAGGGTGTGAGAGGAAGTAAGTTCCTATTGGAAAGACATTTTCATTGTAAGAAGATGTTAACTTCTGAAACGATTTTACCTCATCTCACACAAAGTGAGAATCGCACATTGCAAAGGTGGAGGGGTCACTTTAGGCATACAAATACCAAACCAAGCAGAAAACAACCTCTTAGAATGAGACAAAAATGAAGCACACCAGTGGGGTACCACACTACTTCTGGAACAGGTATGCTCTTTGCCCAGAAAACAGGAATGTAACACAAAATGAGTGGAATGGAAAAACAGGCACAATTGAATGCGGTAATAATAATTACAGCACTGGACAAGTGATGGTAGTGCTGGATGTTCTGTTTGTCACAGACTGTGCCTGATGTTGTACTAGTGTAAAAAAAGGAATAACAATATGTGGCTAGGGCATAAGGACCATGTGATCCATATCTGAAGACCTCAGTTGATTAAGGAAATTGCCTAAAGTGGTCCACCCAGGCAAAAACATCTAGGGGAAGAGCCAAGTAGGTTGTTTGATGATAACAAATGATTAAGGTAGTTGTTCTATTGAGGTCCACCAGGGCAAAAACATGCAGAGGAAACTCCAGAAGGGTTATTTGGTTCTGTCAATTGATGAAGTTATTCTGTCTAGTGAGGTCAACCTTGGCAAAACATCCATGAGAAACTCAAGCTGGGTTTTGACACTGTGACCCATTGATGAAGTTCTATTACCTAGTGAAGTCAACCTGGGAAAATCATCTAGGGGAAGCACATAATAAATTGAATAAGATATTTTGTCTAGTGCAGTCCACCCAGGCAAGAACACCAGAGAAAATATCTCTTAATTGATTAAGTTATTTTTATGAGCACGGTTTGCCCGGACAAAAACATCCAGGTGTAGCACCTCATACATTAATTAAGTTATTTCGTCAAGTGCAGTCCACTCAGGCCAAAATTTCCAGGGGAAATGCCTTTTATAACTGACTAAGTTATTTTGTCAAGTGCAGTTCACCCAGGCAAAAATATCCAGGAGAAATGCCTTTTATAAATTGAATAAGTTATTTTGTCTTAAAGTAGTTTAACCACCTCCATCCCCTTCTCACTGAGTAGATAATCATGAGTATTCTAAAGTAAATATCGAAGCTCACTCAGGAGGAAGCCTCCATGGTCCACCACCCCAGCAAATGGTAATTGGGAGTGGTAAGGACTCTCATCCTCCACTAGAAGAAAAGGGGGGAAATGTGGTGGGAAGTCTGGAGGAACATTGCACCAGAGTGAATTAAAACACAGTAAAAGAAAACTGTTGAAAAAAAAAAGTTCATAAATAGTAACCACATGTGAAAAAAGAACACACACATCTAAACAATGGTGTGCCTATTGAGAAAGTGAGAATAGAAGAAGGAGCTATCTGCACTATTATACATAGTGCAATACTATTGGTGGAGAGTAGTTACGTGATATGTACATGTTCAGAAATGTCACGAAACTGATGGGGTATAAAGACAGGTGCACTGGTGGAAAAAATGTTTTTAGCCATGCTTAGAGGACAAACAAGGATCGAGATAGCTTTGTGTGAGAAGTGGTAAGAGTCTTTGAGAATTAACACTTACCTTAACCCTGGGCCTGTTTGCACTCAGGTGCCTGCTTTGTAAGACTTCTTTTTTCAATGTTCATTGTCCAAAAAATAATTCATGTAGCTTTCAAATATGCATTTCAGAATATAAATCTATTTCAGAAACTAAAACAGAATGTCCCAAGACTACTACAGTGGAGCTGGTTTTCTAACTAAGGTTAACAAATTCCATTACTCTTCAGACCAACTTCAGTCTACACACATCAAGATCTACTTGCTCTCACCACAAAAACAGAACAGAATCAGACAGTTCACAAAATGGCTTTTCTATTTGTTATAAATATATACCTCTGACAAGTAGGTGTGAGCAAATAAGTGATTATAAGAGCATAAAGAGTTGAGAAGAATTTCTGTGGTGGGTGTAACAAATTTATTGATATCTCAGAAAAAAAAAAAGGTGGTAGGTTCTTATCTTATATTCTGGCCTGTCAGTATCTATATATTGTGTATCTAATTGGTGGACACTCTGAAGTTATAAT